CATGTATGTGTGCATATGTATGTATGTATATTCCCTGCTCTCTGAGAACTTATGGTCTAGTAGGGAAGACATGATTCACACACAGAGAAGAGTAGTACAAATAAATTTATGTTCAGTGCATAAGTATTAGATCGTAGAGGATCAGATTAAGCAGGGATCACTTCTGGAGAGAGAGGGGCCAATGGCAGAGTGAGAGACCATGCAGGGGAAACAAAAATGAGCCATCTCAAGCTGCAGAAGTTAGTTTGGAGTTAAGGGAAAACACAAGACAGATGGGAACTGGAGATGTTGGTAAAATGGCTGTTTATCTGACACAACTTCCTTGCCCAAGTTACCTTTCATAGATCTGGAAGAGACCAGAGAGGTCATCTAGTTTAATGCCCTCATTTTACACCTGAGGAAACTGAGGTGCAGATAGGTTATGTGATCTATCCTAGGTTATACGGCGAGGTACAGAGCCAGAATTTTAACCCAGGTCATGTGACTTCAAATCCAGTACTCTTCCTATAACTTTCAAGTACAATGCAGGTGCCTCGAGAACAGGGACTATTTCATTCTTGTCTTTGCATTCCTAGCATCTTTCACGTACATGAAGCATCGACCTCATCAGGGTAGGGAATTCCCAATGGGGGAATTTCCTCCACCAGCAGAGATCCCATTCCTTCTGTGCAGCCCCTAGGTGACTTAGTAAATAAAACTGTGCCTAGGGAATTGTGTTGGAAGCACATAGATATGACGTGATTTTCCCAGGGTCACACAACTATTAAGTGTCAGAGGTGGGATCTGAACTTGCCTTCCTGACTCTAAGCCCAGTGCCCCTCCCTGTGTCTTGTACAGAGTGGATACTTAATGCTTTTATCATGGTACCTCCTCCTTGAACTATGACATCAGAGCTGCCAGGGGCCCAGTTTCCCTAATGGTATCCAGAAAACAGCAAGAAGAGGGCGTAAGAGTCCCCTTGAAATATTGGCAACTCCAGCCTATCCTTGTGATCTCTGCTGCCCTGAGCAGAGCCCTCCTCCTTGATCACTGTGGTTGGAGCTTTTCTGACAAAGCAGTTATAGCTAAAAATTCCCAGCATAATGGAAAATGTACTTTGGCTTCCAAGGACAGGGTCTAAACATTAGAGCTCAAATCCCATAACAATAAATTCCAAAAGACAGTCCGCATGGGGGTTGGGGGAGAAAGTGGGGGTGTGTGTTAAGGATCCCTAGCCCTGCAGTCAGGAGATGAGATTTGAGCACCAGCTCTGCCACTTCCTTGGTGCATAACCTTGAGCTAGTCACCTCATGTTCCTGACCATGAGCTTCTTTCTCTGTAGAATAGGGATCATCCTATTTCTCTGCCTATCACCCAGGGTTGTGATGAGCTTGAAAAGGGATAATGGATGTAAGGTACTTTTAAGCTGTCAAGGGTGGTATAAATGTGAGCTCTCATTATTATGATAAAATGAGATAATGTGTGCAAAGTGTTGTGTAACAGAAAAGCTCTACAGAGTTTCATAGATCTCTGAGAGCAAGAAAGACCTCAGAGGCCATCTACTCCAACCTCCTCAAAGTGAAGTGATCTGTCCAAGGAGACACAGGTGCTCATCTTCAGGGATGGGATGTGAGGTCCTGTTCACTGCCTCCAGGGCCAGTGCCCCTTCCACTGTGCTACACTGTCTCCACAAAAGTGACCTATGTGGTAATTGGTACAGTTATAGTTGTGCAGAATGGTGCTTGAGATCAGCAGGTTGTCAGGAGGGGCTGGGGAGTCTCTTTGTTATATGAAGATCTTCCTAAACATTCATTTTCTTAGCTCTTTCATTGAGAGGCAGCAGGAAGGAAGGAAGGAAGAAAAGGGAGTAAGGGAAGGGAGGAAGGAAGAGAGGAGTAGATAATAAAGACAGGAAGCAGGAGAGACAGCCTTGCCCAAACTTCCCACCACCAGAGAGCTATCTGTGTCACCACCACCTTCTTTATTAACTCCTGTGTGATCTATGGAAAGGCAGATATATTATAATTGAAAATATGGAAAAAATGAGTTACTTACTGATAATTATCAACACCACTATACCGAGAGGGAAAGTAAAGTGATAAAAAGGCAAAATGTCTGTCTTAATGGCTTACCTAGATGTCATTCACCTTGGGCTTCAATTGGTTTATAATTTCATTGATGCAGGCAGGGCAGATCAAAACCTCCCCATGCCTTCTCTTCCTGCCTGGAACTCTTGTCCATTTCCTCATGTAAATTCTAGGGGACTCAGAGGTGGGGAATGTCCACCCATCATTCTGGAGCCCTTTCTCTAGATCTCTTTATTTGGTAGAGCTACCAGTAGAGTGTTGGGGTCTGTCTCTTAATTATTAATCTCTTTCAGTATTCGACTGGCCCACCTCATTTTCTGCATATGCATCACTATGATCATATCTATTACCCTGCTTCTGAAATTGAGATCCATAGGGGCAGCTAGGTAGCACAGTGGATAGAGCACCGGCCCTGGATTCAGGAGGACCTGAGTTCAAATCCAGCCTCAGACACATCACACTTACTAGCTGTGTGACCCTGGCCAAGTCACTGAACCCCATTGCCTGACAAAAAGAAAAAAGAAAAAAAAAAGAAATTGAGATCCATAATCCTTAAGAAAAATTTAGCCTGTTCATATGGAAAAAAATCCAGAAGATGAAGAATGCCTATTATCCAGACCAGGCTATTCATTTAGATGGACAGCTATCAATTAGGTACATTAGTATGTGTATATAATATATGTATGTGTGTGTGTGTGTTTATTATACATGTACAGGCTGTTCCAAAAGTCTCAGTGCACTTTTAAGCTTAAATAACTTAAAACAGAACTTAAAACAAGCCCATACTTACCCTATATGTATTACATAGATGTAGATTGTGTATATATGTTTGTGTACATGTGTTGTATGTGTTTATATGTGTGTAATATATACAAGTGCCCCCAAAGGTCTTCATACACTTTTAAGATATTAAAGCTTGGAAGTGCACTAAGACTTTGGGAATGTCATATATGTGAGTATGTATGTGTATATATATGTATGTGTGTATATACTATGGGTTGACAGGCACTCTGGATGTGCAGTGAACTGGTCCCAGCATTGCATAAGAAGAAGAAAACAGACTGATTTCCTTTGAGACACTATACAATGCTTCTAATGACTCCAAATTTCTGAAACAAAAGTCCAACTTCTTAGCATCAATATTCTTCCAGTGATGTTGCCTGGCTACACATCATGGATTGCCACGGCCTCTGAAGAAATGAAAGCTGGAGCACACCCAAAGAGTAAGAGGCAGATCCCTGGTGGATGACAGCAGGCTGCCACATATGAGCAGTTAGAGGGTAGAGAAACCGTTATAGAACCGAGTCCACGAGCTGGCAGTCAGCAACCTGTCCTAAATCATACTAGCTGCTACTAGAGTATTGAGAATACCCACTGCACCCAGGGCTCACCCTGGAAGCTCAGCTGTAATAATGTGTTGCAATCTTAAGTGATCTATGGTAGTGTGCACAAGGCACTCAAGTCTCAGGCATTTTGAGGAGTAAATAACTGATTCTCCATTTCATAACTTTATATATTTTTGACACTGTTTCCTGACTATGAAATTATACATTTGTCATTTGTTCCCAGAGAGTAAAAAGGGTTGTGAAAATGAACTATTTTTATGATCAGAAAGAGGGCATATACTCCAGATGGTTCATGCTCTCGAGACTTCCTTAAAATATTGAAGGGATGGCAGTGAGGTAAAGGAGAGAGAATACTGGATTAAAAATTAGAAAGCTTAGGGTCTCTGGTCTTAGTTCTGGCATTAACTTGCTGTGTGATTTCCCAGTTAGCTCACCTCTCTGCTCCTCTCCTCTCATCTGTAAAATGATGGCATTGGTGGGAGTTGCTGCCTTCTTCCATAGGAATCAAGATAGGAACCTTTCAGACAAAGGCACAGCAGCCTCGTCCAGGTCTAATTTTCCAGCTCTTACCACTAACCACAGAGAGACACAGAGGGGCAGATTCCCTGTCCACTCTTCTGGGATCACAGAGACAGGACCCATTCTCCTTGCATCAGGGCTTGCAATGGGCTGATTCCAGAGCAGACAGCTGAGTTTATGCTACTAAGAGTTATCTTTATTAGATGATCTTGAGGCTTTTGAGAGCCCTAACCTGTGATTCTATGATTCTGTGACTGCCGATTAAAAGCCAGCTGGGAAAATTCCCGTTATGCTTGTCGGCATTTTTAGAGTGATAGGCAAGCCCCCTTTCCTTCCAGTCTCCCTTCTTCCTACTCTGAGAAAAGATTTCAGTCTAATTGAGCTTATCCTCAGTCACACAGACACAAGGTTGGTCTTCTTTCACTAATCTCCTCCTCTATCTCCTACAATTCAATTTTCAAGCAATTTACTGAAATATTTCTCCCTGAACACTCCTAGTCCTTTGTACTTGGGTGTGACATCTAGGGCCTTCCAACACATTGCTTAAGGAATAGGGTAAAGTCATAGCTCAGATTCACTCACGTACAACCTACACTGTCCGTAACTGAGTCAGAATCACTCTAATGAGAAATTGACCCCCTCATCTAGCACAGGCAGGAAACGCAATCATAGCACGTAAGGCACCTGGGGGTGGAGGCAGGAGAGGCAGGTACACTATTAATTGTTCCCTCCTTCCTGGCCCAAGAGCCCTCCCCATAGGTCAGCCAAAGAAGCACTCAAAATATTTGTGTAAAGAATATGTTAGGTTACCCGCAGGGCCTACTCTGTCTTCTACTAAACCATTTCTGCCCAGTGGCAACGGGTGTGGCCAGGATCGCTTCTACTTTCAGTAATAACCTTTCTCCATTTTCCTTAAATCCTCAGGCTAAACACCACCTCTCCAGTCAAGAAAGGGGTATCCTATTCCTTGTGATGCTGATTACCTATTCTCCAAGGCTCGGCTGACTTTCCTAGGTTGCCAGGCTATAAGAGATCTTTTACTTAAACACTTCAAGTTTATGTTGCGCATTAGAAGCTTTTATTCTCTGGGAACATAACCCTTTATGCACCAGAACCCATGGTCAGAACCATTCACTCTTCCCGAGTGTCAGCTATTTGGAACCAACCTCAAAAGCAATCAGACCTTGCAGGAGTCCTGAAAATATTGCGACATTTTCAGAGCAATCACTTTTAGGAAGAGTGTACAATAAGACAAATTTATGTCTGAGAGTGATGCTGAGTCAGCATGTTGAGGCCAGCACCGTCTCCAGAGCAAGTGGCGGATCACACTGTCTTGAACATGATTTGAAGGATCTTAGAATATTCTTCCTCAGTTTAAACTTGCAGATGCTTGGCATTCGCAGTGCTTTCCATCCTCCCATAGAAGTACTGAGATCATCTTTGGCAGAGCCTTACTAAATCTGGAGGAGAGAAGGAGAATAAAGGGAAGAAGTGGTAGCTGGGGTTTATCACCTTAGAAAATACTGAGCCCAATGGGGATTTTCCCAGCCTGCTTTGAGGAATTGGTTGTAGCTTATTAAAGGTATAAAGGACCCAGATATTGCCCTGCACCACTATCTGCCACAGAAACTCACACAAAACCAGTGACCTACTGCAGGAATTTGTGTTTCTTACTGTGTCCAATCCATTTGGGAATTGGAACAAAAAAAATGTTTCTCTCTTTGTCCATTAAAATGACAGAATCACAGGATGTCTGAGCTGGGAAAGAATTTAGAGGTCATCTGGTCAAAACTTATCCTGTCTCTTGGTTCTTCCAAGACTAGGAAGGACTAGGGCTAGAGAAGCGGGAACTTATGTTCCTGGCAACCAAGAGTCTTCCTGAAGCCAAATAATCATAGGATTTAGAGCTGGGCAGAACTTAGACATCATGGAACCTGACCTACATGGAGGGAAAGTAAAGCCCAGAGTAATGAAATGAGTAGCCCCAGTTGACACACATTGAATTGAAGAGCTGGTTTTTGAACCCAGGTCTAAATGAAGCCCAGTGCCGTGGGGGACTTGGTGTTCCCTCCTGGTACAGTCTATGTCTATGAAAGGTACAGTCTATGTCTGTGAGAGAAAAGCAAGAGGTCAGTCACCATAATAGCAAATAAGGGGGCTGGCAAAAGGGCCAGTTAATTGGAGTGCTGATGGGAGGGGGCTGGGCAACAAGAAGTCTCCCAGATCTAAGTAAGCAGGCATAATCAACAATCCAAACAAAGGTTAACAAAAGCCAGATAGCAAACAAGTCAAGAAATCAGTAAGTATCCCCTGTGACCTACTACATTCTAATGTAGACACTGTGCTGGGCACTGGGGCTATACATGTGAAACAGTTCCTGCCCTCAAAGATCTTGTCTTCTACTAAAGGGAGGCATATCGGGAGTGGTGGCCATGGACCGGAGCTTTGCCCTAAGTAGTCCTAGGGCTTGTGAGTAACCTCAGAGGGCAGTAGATTGTCCTGTCATTCCAGTAGCAAAGGTAATATTGGTTTGATTTATGGCTCCCTGAGCCAAAGGTGAGAGGAATCTGTGCCTGGTATAGGGAGAGATGACAAAATGTCTACAGTGCCTGGGCCCTGGTGTCCCATTGGATGACTGGGGTGGGGAATGAAGCATGGTCTGAGAGTCTGGGCCCAGCTAGAAATAGAAAGCTGAAGTAAGAAAAAGGGTCTGAGTGCAAAGAGGTTCACACAATTTGTCACTCACAGGAAGCTGAATGTACCAGAGGGCTTTTAAACTAGAGTGGGCAAGGCTAATCCCATCCCTCTTGCTCTTCTGGATGAGTAACAGCTGTGGACAATTCTCACACACTTGCATTGCCCCCTGAATGACAAGAGAAATCAAGCCTCCTAACTCCCATTCAGTCCAGTGTTTCTTCCAATATCCCACCGCATCTTACCCTTCTTTGATACCAATATTGCTGCATGTAGAGCCTGCCTTTGGTAAGACTGCGAAGTAGGCAAGTTTCTATTCAATGCCCCAGGCCTTGGTGCCCCTTCCCCTCTTTGGAGTGTCAGGAGATTGGGACATTTCTGGGCTTGAGAGGAGAAGACAGATGGGGGTGGGGGTGGGGGGGTTGCCACAACTATCTTTCATCATTGCAGGAATGGTTGAAATGGGAAGTGATTGAAATTTTACAGAGGGCTTGTGTTTTGCCCTGACCTTGATAAATCAGAGAACCCTTGAATTTTGCCGATTACTGGCCTTTTTCCCCCCAAGAGAATCTGTGTTAACGTATCTGCAAGAAAAACAAGGCTAATAAAAATTTGAACATAAAGCATAATTTAATAAACATGTAAAGGATATAAATGGGACTCATATCTAAGCCTCTGTAGCAATAAAACAAGGCCATCATCTTTTTCTCTCCCCAGAGGGGTCATCCCCTGGTGCTGCATAAATCATTCACAACATGAACAGTGAAGTAAAAGTAGCAAAAGTTGAGTTGGAACATAGTATCGACAAACACCTCCACTCTAGTCCTTCATATGCCTGCATCTGAACAAAACAGAAAGACAGTCACAACTCCCGCACTGCTTGGCCTATACTCAGCAGTCAATGCCCTGGCCACTGCCACTGCTGTGTCATAGATAAAGACCATGCCTCTCCCAGACTCCTGCCCTTCTCCCTCCCTCAACAGGCTTGGATTTCTCTGTTTTCCAGTTGATACCTGGCATTATGGCATTATGGGAAAGTAAGCCCTTTTCCTCAATGCCATGACTCATTTACATGGAAGTATGGGAAAATGAGTCTTAACCTACTTCTCTCCTCCATCATGCATGTCTTCTACATCCTTCTCTGATTATAAAATTTGCAGTCCCTACAAATTACACCGGGTATACATTAAGTCTGTAGATACACATTATATTTTTGTTGTTATTCAGTTGTTTTCAGTCATATCTGACTCTTCATGACCCCATTTGGGGTTTTCTTGGCAGAGATATTGGAATGGTTTGCCATTTTCTTCTCCAGCTCATTTGATAGATGAAGAAATTGATGCAGACAGGGTTATATGACTTGCCCAGGGTCACAGAGCTGGTAAATGTCTAAGACTGTATTTGAACTCAGGAAGATGAGTCTTCCTGACTCCAGGCCTGGCATTCTACCCATTGCACCATCTACCTGCCCCACACATTATATATATATATATATATATAATATATATATATATATATATATAGCCCTCTGCTCAGGCCCAGTAAGTTCAGCAAGCTGTTATTTGCATCCTAGACTTCAAGTCTCTTTGAGAATGGTTTCTCAAAATGCTCCAAGAACTTCCTTGAATAACTTTCTCTCAAAATCTCAACACTGATTAGAAGGAATCCTAGCAAGAAAAGCATAGACCAAAAATGTTTCTTCCCTAGGGGCTTGGCTACCGTGGAAACAATTTAGATCCTGGCTGAGTAGACCTGTCTTTGTTTACAGGTGAAATAGTCCACCATCACGAGGGTGTTACCTTTCCTTTATCCCCTTCCAGAGAGGAGAACTCTTTGCACACCAGCTCCAGGGGCTTGCTATTACTTAAGCTTTACAGGTCAGGAGCACTTTCTTCCAAATACAGTGGCCTAGGTCTCATACTTCTTAGAGACATCCATTGCCATTCTTGGCCAGTGGAACCTATTCTGCAACAGAGCCAGAGATTCCTCTTGGCCTACGTGTCCACATTCATCATGGAAGGCTTTTAAGTCTACCTGGTAGGCTTTGGGCAGAACTAAGTGAAGGAAGCTATCCCCTACTCCATGTGGGTTCACAGCCCCATTCAGTACTTTGTGGCAGGGCTCCAACTTCTGCCAATCCCTCAACCACTGGGTAAGCTAAGCTTGATTCCATGAAGATCAAAACCCTCTCTTTTGACCTTTATCATGTTTCATGCTTCTTCGTCCTGCATCTAGTCTGTCTGCTGGGTAGTTGACCATGGCCAATATGCCAATGGCACAGTCTCCAAAGGAAGTTCCAGACACTCAGCCTCACCTTCTTGTATTAACGGACTTGCTTCCTTCATGTTACAGATATCCTTCACCTCCTCCATGGATATAAAAATGATTTGGGATGTATAAGGCCCCATGCGCTAGGACTCTTTTTTTTTTTAGGCAGTTGGGGTTAAGTGACTTGCCCAGGGTCACACAGTTAGTAAGTGTCAAGTGTTTGGGCTGCAGCCACATTTGAACTCAGGCCCTCCTGACTTCAAGGCCGGTGCTCTATCCACTGTGCCACCTAGCTGCCCCTATGCGCTAGGACTTTTACAGCCATGTTGGTTCTACCTGGCTGACGATCAACAATGAACTCACAGTTAGCTAGAGCCATGAACCATTTCTGGCTAGTAGAATCCAACTATAGAGCTTTTCAAGAATAGAGGTCAGTGATTGTTATCCATCTATACTCTCTATCAAGCCACAAGGTCAACATAGTCTCATAACTTCTGGGTCAAAGTCAAGAACTCCAATCTATGGATGGGATCACAGGTATCACTGTCCATGAAGTCTATGGCTTCTGGTGATTATCCTGCTTCTGATACAAAACTCTTTCCCCCCAGGCCGTCCAAGTGAGTTTGGAACAGTTTTCACTGCATTTAAGAGGAAGCTAACCAGGTCCTTAAAGGCCTAATCACATCTCCTGCTTATGTTTCTCCTCCACCACATCTCCATGAGTAAGATCCATGAGAGGCTTTGCAGTGATAGCATAGTTCTTCACAAGTCTCTAATAGCAGCCACTGATAGAAATGTCTTCAGTTCCTGATAATCCTTCTGGCATGGCCTGGGGTTACTTTTTGTAGCTTCTATTTCTTCAGTCGGGACTCACTCCCTTGTGACAAGAAATGATACTTGTCAACTGATACCTTTAGAACAGCAGCATTTAGCTTCCTAAATACCTTTCAATGGCCATTCCTCATGTGCTTGTATCATCGTAAGTATGATATGATCTGGCAGATAAACCAATGCCTCAAAGTAGATCATGTCCCCAACCACCTTCTTCATGGCTCTGAAAAAGCATCCCAAGAGTATGTTTATTTACTGTTCTCCAAGCAACATCTGTGCCTGGGGTCCAGGGCATGATAGCACAGTGAATCTTTTCTACTGGTGCCCTGCCTTGAGCTCATGGCATTATGGGAAAGTGAGCCATTTTCCTTCATGTGAGTGCCATTTCCTTCATGGCACTTATGCTACATTACTTTCCCATCCTGGGGGAATTTGCATTTTTAAAGAGTATTTCTGGAGAATTACTTAAAGCAAAGGAAGGCGTTATTAATGGCGGAATATTGGGCATCATTTGGGGAGAGAAATATTTCTGGACAGGATGCTTTCTTTCATCTCACAATTTAATAAGCAGTCACCTACTCCATTTCATCTATGACTGACCCTGTTTAACAGAAATAAATACAATATTCTTAGATAATGACTACTCCCATTTTCATACAACTCTAAGGCTTACAAAATGCTTTCCTCACAAAAATGCTGAGTTAGAAAGTGCCACTACTATTATTTCTATTTCACAGATAGAGAAACCGAGGCTCAAAAAGTTTAAATGACTTGCTCAAGGTCACATAGATGATAAATGTTGAAGCAAAGATATGAATTTGGTCTCCTGATTCCAGGTCTCTTTTCACTATATCATGATGCCTCTAAAGTGTGAGAGCAATAGGAAGGAACTCCAGAGGAGTAGGTCAGAAAACTGGATTTCAAGCCGTAGAAATGGCTGTGCACCAAATGTTTCGTATGTGACAACTGAAAGGTCAATATTCTTTCCTCAGTTTCTCCAGTTTTTCTTCAACATCATGAATTTGACCACATGGATAAAAGATGAATGGAGTTTAATCTATGATGCATCTTACGTAAAGGAAACCTGGATTGAGCCATTGTTGAAGTGAGTAACATCATCCTTGCCACACAACGGATGGGACCCCACACTCCCCAGACTGGTGAAACAGGACACAAGTTTCACATGCCTTTCCTCGTGTTTGTATCAACAGCATGGGAAGGTCCTCTGGATGGGGGTTTATGATAGAGCTGGCTAGAACCAGCTCACAGTCATTAAATTTTCAGTATGAGCATTTATGCCTTTACACTACAGAATCGGGGCTTGATTTACTGTTTCGTTGGTTATCCAAACTTATGAAAGTGATAGAGAAAATGTTAACAATGCATGTTTTATTTAATAGTGTGCCTAGCATACATCCCCCCCAACTGCCATGTCAAACATTTACCAGCATACCATTACCTGGGTCGCACCTGCACGTCCTGGGGTCTCTATGCCCCTTGGAGTATCTCTTTTAAGAACTCACTGAAGAGCTAAGAGCGGCTGCCTCTCTTCTTGGAAGGTACTTCTCATTTCGGTAATTTTTTTCAGCCACATGCAACACTTCATGGGGTTTTCTTTGCAAAGAGACTGGAGGGGTTTGCTGTTTCCTTCTCTAGCTCATTTTATAGATGAGGAAACTGAGGCAAACAGGGTGAAGTGACCTAGCCAGGGTCACACAGCTAGTAAGTATCTGAGGCTGGATTTGAACTCATGAAGGTAAATCTTCCTGATTCCCAGCCCAGTGCTCTATCCACTGTTGCACCACTTTGGGCAGCTAGATGACACACTGGATGGAATTCTGGGCCTGGAGTTTGTTTTATTTCCCTCCTAAACTGTAAACTCCATGAAGACAGGTATCCTGTCTTGTTTAAGCTTTGCAGATGTTTGTTGAATGATATAGCACTTTACCCACTTGATCTCCTTTGATCTTCATAACACCCCTAGCACATAGACAGGACAGAGGATAAGCTTTATTATTGCTATCTTACAAATGAGAAAACTGAGACCCAGAAATGACTTACTTGTCCAAGGTCACATAGCTAGTTAGTCATGGAGGCAAGACGCAAAGCCAGGTGTTTTGACTCTGGTCCCAGTAGCAGAAGGACCCCTGGACTTGGGCTAGGAGACAAAGGTTTGAATTCTAGATCCCACATTTGCCATGGAGGTGATCTTGGGCAAATCACTCCATCTTTATCTCGATTTCCTCATCCATAAAATATGGATAATAATTCTTAAACTTCCTATATTACCAGGTCATGAGGAAAACCCTCGGTGACCTTAAGGCACAACACAAACCTGAGTTACTTTTGTACCATATTGGCTTTCCAGTACATATGACATAGTTCCTGTGCTGAAGGAAAGCTCTCTCTTCAGCTAAGGAGCTAAAACATGAACAAGAAAAGAGAGGGAGCGTGTGGTATAGTAGAAGATATCTGACCTGAGACCCAGAAAACTTGAATTCTATTCCTTCTCGGTAACCTTTGGCAAGTCATTTCCTACTCTGAACCTCAGTTTCCCTAATCTGAGCCACTGTTTCCTAGAGCCACATTGTATTACAGTCAGTACTTAATAAATGTTTATTCAACAAATAAATGAATATGTAAAACGAGAGGGTGGACTAGATCTCTACTCCAACTCTCAAAGCATAGAATTCCATGATTTTGTAATTAACAATACACTCCCAAGGCCTTCTGTGCCTAATAGCACCACAGGAGTTCAGATGTTTACCCACCCTGGCTTGTCTGCATCTGAGTGTGCAGCTCATTCCTTGGCTCTGTGACTGTGAGGTATAACTGATGTAGCCATCATCTTACAAGGAAGATTAGCAGCTTCTCATGTGATACCTGGGTCTTGCAATAAATAATTCACAATAATGGTGATCTGCCCAGTAGGGAAGGGAGGAAAAAGAAGGGAACAAGCCTTTATTAATAGTACTACTCTGTGCCAGGCACCATGCTAAGCTGTTTACAAATATTGTTTCATTGGATGCTTGTAACAACCCTGGGAGGTTATTATTAGCTGTTATTAGGCCAATTTTACTGTTGAGGAAACTGAGGCCAATAAAGGTAAAGTGATTTGCTGAGAGTCCCACATCAAGTTAAATGTCTGAGGCCAGACTTGAGCTCTGGTTTTCCTGACTCTAGTCCCAGTGCTGTATCCACTGTGCCATCTCTGATCAGACTTACCAAGCTAAAAAGGCTTTGAATAGGGGCCCAGTTCCAGACTGTATACATGGTGTGGGAAGACCAGTTGGAAAGGCTCACAAGCATGCTGGTCACAGGCTGATTAATTTTTTAGCTACAACAACTCTTGAAAACCTCCTGCTAAAGTGCAAACTGCCTTGATGGGTGGATAGACCATACCAACCAAATTTAAAATCCTTGAGTATTGCCTCTCAGGGCAGCCATATCCTCGTCTGGGAACTTCAAGCATCGGGGCCAGATGATCTCTACAATCTCTTCTAACTCAAGGTCCTGTGATTCTGCCACTTCTTTGATTCCTCCCAATGCTCCACTGTCCGTCACCTGTTCCAACACTTACCTAGAGCCAGAACCCCCCTACAATATCCTGGACAAGAAGTAATCCCACCAGGGCCCCCCGTGCCTCCTAGGGCAGCTCCTTCTGTTGTTGACCAGCCCTGATTGTTGGAGAGCCCTTCCTTAGACTATACTGAGGTGTGAGCTGCGTTCTTGTAATTTAGGATCATAGACTTAGTCCTGAAAGGAAACTTAGAAGTCATTTAGTCTAACCTCTTATTCTACAGATGAGGAAACTGAGGCCCAGGGAAGTTAAGCACTGCCCAAAGTTACACAGGTTGAATTAGAATTCAAACTCAAGTCCTTTGGTTCTGGATCTGGGGGTTTTCCACTGTGCCACATGGCCCCAACTTCTGTGCTTAAGCACAGACAAGGGATGCACAAGACAAGTTTTTGGTGGCTTACTGGGCTTAATCAGGGGGAAAAGATACAGTGACAATGATGCATTTGGCAGGTTCTGTTAAGTCATTCATTCAGTAAGGATTTTATTGACCACCTACATAAGTAGAGATGCAATAGATATTGGAGACCATTTTGTTCAACCCCAACATTTTATATGAGAGGAAACTTGGTGTATGAGAAAGGAGACAACTTACCCAGGTGTCACAAAGCTAGTCCCCGAGTGACTGAGCTGGGATTGGAACCCTGGGCCTTCTGATTTCTAGTCCAAAATTCTTCCCACTACACCACACTGCCCAGGGTGGACCCAGTCCTGTGCTTACTGGTAAGGGAGCTACAATCTGGGGTTTCATCTGTAAAGGATCCAAAAGAAAAGAGAGACATGGCCCCTACCCCTAACCGGCTTACAGGCTAGTTATAGAGAAAATGCACATTAAGCAATTACAGAAGAAGATAACAATATATCACAAGGCACAAAGTTACATGATTAGGAAAATTGCATTAGGAATTTAGAAATGTGAGCTATGCTTGTGGTTTGAGCTGGTCAGGAAATACTTCACCGAGGAAGTAGAGCTGAGCCTTGATAGATGGGTCTGTTATAGCTACAGCAGATCTAACCCCGTAAATGTATATCTTCAAGGTGCACAGCCAACACACCAGAATCAGCCTGGACAAGTTAATGTTATCTTTCAGAGTGGTCCCCGTGGAAGGCGATGCACATTCCAGCAAGTTTGCCATTGTTCACATTCATACACACATTCTGGGAATTACCTTCAGAATCAATTCGAAGGAACACAAGGAAATTGGTCCCATTTCTCAAGATGTCCAACTCATTTGTTATTTTCAGTGGTCATGCCATTATCTGGCAGGTTAATTACCGCTCTCTTCACAGGACTTGGCTCTGAATAACTTTTGACTATGTCCAAAAGTCAGAGTCACCTTTGAAGGAAGAAGATTTGAAACCATTAAGGATATTCAAAAGGATGTGCTGGGGGCAGCTGGGTGGCACAGTGGATAGAGCACCGGCCCTGAAGTCAGGAGGACCTGAGTTCAAATCCAGGCTCAGACCAAACACATGACACTAGCTGTGTGACCCTGGGGGAGTCAATTGCATAAAAAGAAAAAAAAAGAAAAAGACAGGATGTGCCCAAGGCTCTAGGTCAGAGCCTCTTAAGTAAGTGTGCTTTTAGGGAAAGTCAAATGGTCTTGGTAGGAAGCAGACAAGAAGCTAATAGCTAGGCCTGCAGGCATTTGGTCCATCATTGGTCCTTCTCCCTAAAGGGAGAATCTGCTTTGCCCACATCTCTACATAACTCACCTCTTTGGCTCTGGATCGACAAGGCATGCCTGGAGGACCACCATTGGGTATCTTCCAAACAACCCAACAAGGTTTCATTAAAGCCCTACTATGTGCAAGGCAGTGGAAATGCAAAGACCAAGCAACAGTAACGAACAGTCTCAGCCTTCAGGGAGGTTCCGTTCTGCTAGGAGGAGGCAACCTGAAAACATGAGTATAAACACGATGAGTTAACTAGAACACTAGCGACTTGGGAACACAGGAAAGACTCTGCATAGGAAGTAGAGTATGGGGAGCCTTGGATGAAGCCATAGATAGAGGGGAACTGGAAGTATATTCCAGAGAAGACACATGCAATCATCAAGGCACAGAGACACGATGGAGAAGGGAAAGAGCCCAGGACACCCAGGTGGCTGTGGTCACAGCAGCTCACTTGCAGCATGGTGATCTGTGGCCACTCTGTCCTTCTCTCTCAGGTCCAGCGTCCTCTCAGCAGCAGAATAAGTGGCTGGTTTAGATGACACCAGCAGCTTGTCACAGCTTCAGGCCACCTTAAATAGGCTAGCTAATTACACCAAAGCAGGCCCTCCATTTCCAGGTGATTCAAGTGCCAGTGCTGCTGCTACCCCGGAAGGCACTTGCCTTGAACAGAGGCACAATCATTGGTGGCAACTTTGACAAGGACACGTCTTTGGTGGACGATCGGTCTCATTATTATATGTGCATACTTCATTGTGTTTCTTCACATATTCAGCTGAATAAACATCTACACCGACTGTGTACAGAGCACTGTGCCAGGGACTAGGGGAGCCACCAACTTTACAAGGTTTAGAGAAGACAGAATCCCTGCCTTTGTGGATCTTACAATCTTAGGAAAGGGGTGTGACACACATACAGTTAACTGTAACCATGTCTCTGGGTGTCTTGTGGAATATGGAGAACCCTTTAAATTGTTTCTGTAGCCTAAGGAAGGGCAATGGGGGTTGATAGGTGGGCATATAGAAAAGGGGTTTTTGAAACCTTAAGACCTCCAATTTGTTACTCGGCCTCCAGAGAATTAGCAGCAGTGCTTTATTCCTATTTTGTACCCACAGCAACACCAGTGAAGCAAAGTAAGGATGGGGGCAAAGTCAGTACGCTACAGGCATAAAACAATACTCTCTAGAGTGAAGAAATTATGTAAGACAAATTGGCAGCCTGCTGGCACGCCTGCTATTTTACATCGTAGCATACTGCTGTCCTTGACCGGGCTGTTCCAAAATCCTCCTTCCATCTCCTGCCCAGCCTTCGGGTTTGGTCACCCCATGAAGCGAGCCTTGGCTCTGCACCGCTTTCTGTTTGCTCTGTTGGATCCCAAATTGGAGCATGGACTTCTGTCCCCAGTGATGTTTTCTTCTTCAGGGCCTGGTAAAATAGCACCCAATCCCTTGCCCCACCCCCTCCCCTGTCTCTGGAAGAATTGACTCTGATTGAGTTAGGCTAATCCATTGCCCACTCTCACTCCAGGCAGGATTCTCCTGAAGGTAGATGGATTGATACAATCTGGAATCAATACAAGGTCCGGCCAAATACACTAGAGATGAATAATGCGTATTCTTCAACCTCGACTACATAGCACATTTACTTTATGTCACACTTGATAAATGGTTTAGCTCTTTACATGATTTATGATCCTCTTGGATACCATTCTACTTTGGTTCTTTAAGGATCCATGACTCTATTCGCATAGCTGCTTGCAGCACCAGTGTAGATCTCAGCCCTTCCACCTCAATAGACAATTTTCATGGGTTTCTGATGGTGAGTCCCTCCACATTTAACTAGGCACTGAGTCCATACCCCAAGCCTTTCTAGTTTGGCAGGGTCAGGCACAGCCTTTGAGGATCTAGAACCATCTCCAAGCCACCTATCTGGGGAGAAGATGTGGTTGTGCTTGAGATTATTGTGGGGCTTTTCAACGGCACACATAATAAAGTTATCTACCCAGATTAGGTGCACTAAACAGTTTAAGACCCCTAGCCTAAACCCAAGGTCAACCAAGGTCACCATCCTGCCCCAAAGTCCCCTGGGGACACCTGGAGAGAGATCATGCTGCACTGGGAAATGCTGTTAGAGCTCGCCGCAGAGCTGAGGACTCCGGGGAGCAGCTCATGACATCATAACAGAAAGTGCAGCTGCCTCAGCAAAGGTTACCTTTACGCGTGAGGGTTTATTGTGGTGTATGCATCAGAAAGATGAACATTGCCATCAGATCTGTGAACTCAGCAATCTGAGGGCTTAAAGGAACAACAAATTCTCATGGCACATTAATTCTGAGACAATTACTTTTTACCATCGTGTTTATTTCAGTGTTCGATCCAACAAATATTTAAGCTCCTACTAGGTGCAAGGATTCAGCTAAACAAATCTTCATAGTTTTGTTGTCATTTCTATCCCACTCCCCATTGGGAGTGGTCACCCCTCAAATCTCTTATGGCATTCTGTCTGAACCTTTCCTTTGGACTTCTTTTCTGAGTATAAAATTGTCTGTAATAATAACTCAGTATAGTGCTTTATGGGGCAACAAGGTGGTGCAGTGGATAAAGCACCAGGCCTGGAGTCAGGAAGATCTGAGCTCAAATCTGGCCTCAGACACTTATAATCTGTGTGACCCTGGGCAAGTCACTTAACTCCTATTTGTCTCAGTTCCTCATCTGTAAAATGAGGACACACTGAAGAAGGAAATAGCAAACCATTCTAGTACCTTTGCCAAGAAAACCCAATAGACAAGTCCAAGTCCATGGTGTCATAAAGAGTCAGACATGACTGAACAGCAAGAAATAGTGCTTTACAGTTTACAAAGTACTTTATATAAATAATCGCATTTGATTTTCAGTCCTGTACTCTGAGGAAGGCAATGTAGGTATTATTACTCCCATTTACATAGGAGGCAACTGATGACTAGATTAAGTAATTTGCCAAATGTCACACAGCTAATGAGTGGCAGCACCAAGATTGAAATGGAGGCCTTCTGACTCCAAATCCAGCACTTTCGTGTGTATAAGTCTCATCTCCCCTGTTTAGATTATCAACTCCTCAAAGGCAGGGAATATATTTTATTCATCTTTATGTTCCCTGCAGCCTGGCACATCGCAACCCTAAAACAGCCTGGTGCAATGAGGCCCCTTCCTCATAGAGCAATCGATCAATCAATCAATCAGTTAATAAACATTTATTAAGCACCTACTCTGTGCCAGGCACTGTGCTAGGCACTGGAGCAGAATGTAACCTTTGAACTTGTCTTTCAAATATTTTAACAAATGTATTTCAGCCTAACTGATTTCCTTAATAATCCTAGTACTTTATATCATGCACTTAAAAACATTGCTCCTGGAAGGGATCCACAGGCCTCAACAGGTTGCCAAAGGACTTCACAACAGAAAAAAATGATTGAGAGCCGCTGCTCGAGGGAAAGGAGGAAGAGGGAAAACACGTAGATAGAAACAGCTGAAATGACTGAGTCTATTAAGTGCAGCCCCGAACACCAAGGTGGACCTCAGTGTTCCTCTTCAGCTGGCCTCTCACAGTTGGCGTGGTCAACGTTACTTGGGTTCTGCTGAGCCTGGGTTCATGCATCTGCAAAAGTTCCCTATATCCAGTTGAGCATAAAAGCATCCACTCAGGCTGACCCCCTGGGGCACTCAGAATCAGCCTGTCATTCAGGGCAAGGCTTGTTTCTGGGCTTGTCATATGGGCTGTTTTATTTATTCCCATGTGTTTATCACAGTCCTGGCTGGCCCTAAGCTCCTTATTTAGATGAACTGAGTACAAGGGCTATTTCTGTTCCTTAAAATCCTAGACTAGGCTTTTAGAAACAACAACTCATACTTTCAAGTCACCGTTAAGTTTTACAAAAAGCTTTCCTCACAATAAACCTGGGAACTAACTATTACAAACAGCATTATACCCATTTTATAGATGAGGAGACCGAAACTCAAAGGAACAATAACAAGCCAGGGTCACACAGCTCATAAATGTAAGAGTTAAGCCTCATGACTGAATTTCTGAACGTCGTATGAGCCTCTCTGGCACATTAATGGGTGGTAACATTTAAAGGCAGGATCAGCTAAGATGCTTTTTTATGATGTCCTAATCAGTAGGTGTCCTGGCTTCTGGCCCTTTAAATCTGTCTCTCTGGGCCAGTTTCCAAGTTTGTTTCTCTTCCCATTCTGAAGAGATGAAACCTCACTGCAATGGAATCACACTGTAAGGTTGTGTCAGAGCTCTCGTTTTAAATTTTCAGGAGAAAAATGCCCTGTTGTGTGTGGGGGCATCAGCTTGTCACTTGCTGTGCCTCTCTGATTTGGATGTGGGAGAGCTCAATGGCTCTTTAGCACACTGAGGACTTATTGGGCACCCAAAACTGTTCTGAGACTTTCTGAACTCCCCCACCATCACTCATTCCCCAAGTCATGGTGATCCATGGGCTTTTTCTCAATCATTCTGCAAGATCTCTGTGCAGTCTTTGACCCCGCTGAGGTCGCCTTCCTCCGGGCTACCCCCTCTTATCTAGGTTTTCATCACATTTCTCTCTCTCAGTTCTCTCCCCTCTCCTGACAGCACCTTCTAAGTGTCCTTGGCTGTATCTTCCTCTAGGCCATGCCTGCCGTCCAAAGATGTCTTCCACAACTCTGGGCCCCCTTCTCTTCTCCCTCTGTACTGTCTCGCTTGGTGATCTCACCATCTCCCGCTGGTTCTTTGATCTTCTCTGTTCAGATGATTGCCCAGACCTATCTATCCAGCCCTAATATCCCTCCCATGTGCCAGTCCTGCATATTCAGATGGTTTTTGGACATCTCAGAACGATATCCTCCTCTCTTCCAGATTTCCCTATTATAGCCAAGGATGCCACCATCCTTCTATCATCCAGGTTTGTGGCCTTGACTCACCACTCTCCATCACACCATGTATTTAACCTGTTGTCAGAGTTTGTCATTGCTGTCTTCCCAATACCTCTACTCTGCATTGCCTTCTCTCTACTCACGCACTCACCACCCTGGGGCATCCTTTATCCCCTTTCACCTGGACTATTGCAATAAAGCCGTGAACTAAATAGTACAAATATCATTATACCAATTTTATAGATGAGGAGACTGAAACTCAGAGGAACAATAACTAGCCAAGGTCACACAGCTCAC